CTTCCTCTGGGCTTCAGTGATGAGGAACAGTGAGGGTGGCCCATCTGAGAACACCATGAATGGTATGAATGGTTGAGCGACAGGTGTCTGATTTCCCGGCTCTGGAGGCTGAAGTCCAAGATCCAGGTGTGGTAGCCATGGCCTTCAGCTGTCTTCTCCCTGTGTTGCCACTGGGTCTTTAGTCTGATGGGACTAAGAACTTGAGATGGGTGGGGTTGGAAGAGAGGAGAAAGAGTGATGGAAGGGGTGACACTGATCAAGATGCGTTCAATTATAAACTGATGAACTGAAACCCCTTTGCACAACGACTTCAAGGTAATAACAAACTAGATTTAGTGCATGTTGGGGGCAAAGTTGCTTGAGCTCAGCTCCTTTCTTCTGATTCTGCTTCTAAGTTTTTGTTGTTGTTTTTAACCAGAGCAGGCCATGGGTTTGTGGTTGAGTTGGCCTGTCCTCAAAGCTACTGTCTCTCTGAAGACTTGCCTGACATTGGTGAGGCCATTCTCCACCAGACCCTGGCCAACAGCTGTTCCATGTGTCCTGCTGCCTGTGTAGCTCGTGCTATAACTTGGGGCCTGTTCTTCCTGGGCATTCTTTCTGCTGCAGACTATTGGCTATCACTCCACACATAGATAAGGTAGTACTCAGCCACATCTACCCTTCTAGAGATATCTGCTCTTTGTCTTTGTGTGGGCAGCTGGCTGTTGGGGAGTCACAATTACAACTCCAACAAGGCTTGGCTTCTCTGAACTCCAAAGTCTGTCTCTAGACAGTGAGATCCCATCCTGTCCTGCGGCCCACAATCAACCTCAGTGCAATTCAGGCGGCTGCAGGGACCCTCTCGCTTGTTTCTTCCCTTCCGCAGACCAGAATCCAACCAGGTGCTCACTGCAAAACTAGGCACTTTCCTTCTACCTTGTAGCCAAGGCCCTTTTTGTGCATAGAGCTTCATTTCCTTGGTCCATTGACTTCTGCTCCCTTCCCAACCAACTTACTGCCCACTGACTCATGGTGGCTTGTGACATTTCTTCAAGGCCAGATTTTTGCTGAATTTACTTCTGTTTCTGGTAGTACTGGGGATTGACCCTGATCTCTTCTTCAAGTGTTTTATCACTTGCACTACACCCAGGCCTGCTTTTGGTTTGTTTTTCAAATAGGGCCTCCAACATTTGTAATTTAGACCTGAAAGGTAAGACCACTACTTGCTCCGGCCAAGGGGTATGGACAGACCTGTACATGTACTTCAAGGGTATGTACAGCTGCTCACCTGGCTCATTCTCACTGCTCAATGTGAGGCCAAGATAGTATGAGAAAGAGGGCCAAGATGGTGGAGATGGACTAAATTGCTTCTTCCCTGTGGCAAGTATATATGTCACATGCTCTTTCTCTGCCATATATCTCCTCTAGTCAATTTTCCAAACATCTTACTTCTGTTCTCGTCCTACCTGCCTGGATTTTTCTCTTTTCAGACACAAGGACTGAGGTTGTTTAGCTGCTCTAAACTTTCTAGTAATGTATTTGGTGCATTGGCTGGGAAATTAGGGATTAACTATGTCTTCTGACTTGGACACATCACATGGTTGCAGAAATGTTAAGAATCTTAAGAGTTTAGAGACAGGAGAATGACCAGAAATGTAATGGCCACACAGCCGGCCCATCTAAGCAGGCTGCTCAGCACTGTGGGATTCTGGAGGCCCTGCTTTTCCACACAGTAAGGAACTTCCCTCAAGTGTAGCCTCACAAACAGAAATGAAGCGGGGCACTGTCTTGAGAGAGTGGGCAATGTCAAGACGGGACAGACACATTTGAGTCTCTCCAATGTCAGAATTTATTGAAAAACTACAAATTCACAAGCTATATCAATTTTGTGAGTGTTAACTTGCTGAGTACTACTGAGATCCCATGAGAAGCTAGGCAGTTGGAAATGTAAGTTATTTTTATGCCAGTAGTGGGGCTTGAACTCAGGGCCCAAGCATTGTCCCTGAGCTTTTTGGCTCAAGTTCTACTACTTGAGCCACAGGGTCCACTTCTGGTATTTTGGTGGTTAACTGAAGAGCCTTACTTTCCTGCCTGGGATGGCTTTGAACTGGGATTCTCAGATCTTAGGATTACAAATGTGAGCCACTGGTGCCTTTCCCTTCTTAATTACTAATATTAGTCTCATAAAACACAATTCCCAGCAATACAGAGGCTGCAGGATAGCTAGAGACCAGTTCAGAGACCTTGCTTAAGGCAAAGCTGAGAGTAGATAGGGACCTGTGGAGTCACTGCAGTGATCCTGAAGGATGCAGGGAAGGGTCCATGTCCCAGCACTGTGGATACCTAGTGAGGTCACCATGCTGAGTGGCTGCAGGTGAAATGCTGAAGAGCTGAACTGATTTCAGGCAGAGTGAAATCCAGGTGCAGAGATGGTTCTGCTTTCTGGATGGATAGCAATTAGAAGGGATCATGTCAAACAGGGGACAGAACGGAGCTGGAGCCCCAGGGAGAGTTGATTCTTGACACATACTCTGAAGAGTCTGCTGACAGGTAGGCCTGTGGCGGTGTGTCCCAGAGCCAAGTGTGGGGGGGTGTCCAAATCACTGGGGCCGGTGTGTCTGATACATTCAAGCCTGGTCTTTTGGATATGCTGTGATATGTTTGATGATGTAATTGCTTATCTGCACAATTAAACCATGTAGTGGTTTAGGTCAAAGTGAGGCACAGCCTAAATGCTTCTGATCTCTGTTGCTTTCACCCACAGCAGCCTCAGCTTGATCTCCCCAGGTAAAGAAACATTCCAGACTTTGTTTTTTTTGGGGGGGGGGGTGCTGGTATTGGTTCTTGAACTCAGGGCCATATGGTCTTGCTTGGCTTTTTTGTTTTTGTTCAAGACTAGCACTCTATTACTTGAGCTACATCTCTACTTCCAGCTTTTTGCTAACTGGAGATGAGTCTTACAGACTTTCTGACCTGGGCTGGCTTTGAACCACAATCCTCAGATCTTGTCTTCCTGATCAACTAGAATTATAGGCATGAGCCACTGGTGCCCAGCAAGAATTCTAAACCTTAGGAACATGTTATAACACCTCTCTATCCCACAGCCTCACCCTGTGCAGCCACACTGGGCACTGTTTTTCAGCCAGCTGTACTGGCTTTTCAGTTTCTTGAAGAATTCATGTTCCTTCCCACCACGGTGCCTTTGTACATGTGGTTCCTCTTCTAGCCGTTTCTGCTTATCCTCACAGTCTGGGCTTATAGAGTTTTCCCAGAGGCAACCTTCATGTCCTCGAGCAGGGCAGGCCACAGCATCACTTGCCTCCCAGGGTTACGTCTTCACAGCTGCGTCCCCTGGGAGGGGTCTGAGTCACCAGGCTGTGCCTGCAGGGCCTGAGCCCTCGAATTGCACAGAAGGCTTTAAATGATCTTGTGTTGAGAGAACGTGGCAAGGGAGCCCAGGCTGCTTCCCGCTGCAGGATTCCAGGTCCTTGTCAGTAAAATGAAGTCTGTGACTTTCCATTAATCTGTGGTTGAATTACTAGAACTCTTAGGTTACTTCCGTTACATGCTATAATGCAACAGGTTTCCTCTTGGCTCAAAAGTGAACCTCTCCATCATTCCTATCTGTTCATTTAAGCCACGTTCTGCATGGGCCCTGGAGGCCCCGTCCTGGCTCGGGGCAGCAGCAGGGGCAGGCCCCAGGCCTTCTCCACAGCACAGCAGTCCTCTGGGCCTTTCCTGGTTCTCTGGCTGACCCAGCTACCTAGTACCTACCTGAAAGAGCCTTCACCTTGGTGCCTTCCTTCCTCCAAACTTTGCAGCCACTCAAGCTCAGGCTTGGTGAAAGAACAGACTCCCACTGAATACGCCACAAATTGAAGGCTTCAGCCTTCATGGTGAGGCTGCACCTCTCCCTCTCTGTCTTGCTTGCTTTCCACTTGAAGCCATCGGAAGCCCTCATTACATATGGGGCCCGGTGACTGGCTGGAGAGCTCTCTGCCCCTCTGCTCACCATCTTCCTCCAAGCCTCTCTGGGTCCGGCATCCGGCATTCCAGCCAGAGCTCCCCTGTGGGGTCCCCTCCCTTCCCAGGCCCAGGAGGACCTCCTGCTGCACACCAAGCCACCCTTGGGACCTGTGGCAAGTGGGCTGTGCCTGGGGCCACCTTCTCCCACCTGCTGCCCGGGAAGGTAGGCGCTCCCTTCAGACTGGCGAACGAGCCACATGTCTTGGAGTGCCTCACCTCTCCTCCCATCCTCCCCCTCCCCCGGCTCCCCGCCAAGGTAGAGCCCCAGCTGGGGAAAGCCCCCTCCCCCCGCTCCCGCCGCGGTGCACGTCGTCCCCCAACTCCCCGTCGTGGCCTGGCGGGCTGTGAGCTCGGGAGAGGGAAAAGAAGACATCCCGGCTGCAAGCACGCGGGGCCGGCCCGGGCAGCGTCCCGCTCGGGCTCCGGGGTCCTGGGGTCGAAGGGCCAGGCTGCGTCCCGCTCGGGCTTCGGGGTCCCGGGATCACTGGGCCGGGCTGCGTCCCGCTCGGGCTCCGGGGTCTCGGGGTCCCTGGGCCTGGCTGCGTCCCGCTCGGGCTCTGGGGTCCCGGGGTTGTTGGGCCGGGCTGCGTCCCGCTTGGGCTCCGGGGTCTCGGGGTTCCGGGGTCGTTGGGCCGGGCTGCGTCCGGCTCGGGCTCCGGGGTCTCGGGCCCCGGGGGTCGTTGGGCCGGGCTATGTCCCGGGGTCTCGGGGTCCCTGGGCCTGGCTGCGTCCCGCTCGGGCTCCGGGGTCTCGGGGTCCTCGGGGTCGTTGGGCCGGG